TTTAAAGGATCTTGAATGGAGAATTTTATACCTGATGAGATGATATTGCATTCATAAGACAGAATTTTAAGTATCTGAAGTGAAGAAGAATGGTTCATAAGTTTACCAATGAGGGTTAATCTTAGAAAAGAAGGAACAGAGCTCTGCTTTTGCAAATAGGGATGAGAATATACTAAGTATGGCCTATAGGTTTGGAGGTAAAAAGAAGTGTGAATTTTAATCTTGTATCTTCTGTGTTCTCTATAAATAAAAAAGGAGGTCATCTTCTGAAAGTTAGGGTGAAAGAAAGATCAAAGGTTCCACAAGGGTAAAAATTTGAAGTCATTGTAGAAAGTGGACAACTAAGTGGCCAAATAGGTGAAGGAACAAGAAAGACGAGAATGGGTGACTATTTCATCATTTCTGATTCTATCATCTTTTCTGATATTTAGGAAGCTGTAGGGCTATCTTTCTGAATCAGTGGTCCTGGACTTTTTTCTGCTCCAGCACAGCTTTGCTGATAGAAGTGAGGACAATTGTCTATTCCTATCAGTCACAACTACATCATTTATATCATCAATCATAGTGTTGCTTCTGAAGGATGGGGTGAACCACCACCTTAGGAAAGTGTGTATAAAACTCTGAGACAGAAAACTGTATTGTGCATGCTGTGTGTATTTGTGTAGTTAAAAAAGTAAATTTTATAATTCAGATATGCCATAGACAAGGTGGAGTTTCTCCTTAAGAAGAGAAGGTTGAAAGTAGACCAGAAATTAGAAATTTCCCTACAGAAGTTTGACACATTCCAATTTATAACCATTTAAATGTAAAACATCTATTTATTACCAACATATTTATAAAAATTTCTCTAATATTCAATCAATATGTTGTTAGTAAATTCTTCTTTATGTCAAATTTCTGCCTTTGATTAAATGAATTAATATTCCACCTAAAGACTCATACAACTAATAAACAAATTCAGCAAAATAGCAGGATACAAAATCAATGTATAAAACTCAGTAGCATTCCTGTATACCTACAATGAACCAACCTAAAAAGAAATCAAGAAACAATCCCATTCACAGTAGCTTCAACGAAAATTAAAAACCTAGGAATTAACCTAAGCAAGGAAGTGAATGAATTCTAGGTGAAAACTATAGAACTCTGAAAAAAGAGATTGAAGAGAATACCAAAAAATAGAAAGACATCCCTGTTCCTGGATAGGGAGAACCAATATTGTTTAAAATGTCATATTACCAGGAAAGAAGGGAAAGAAAAAATATGAGAAAATAAGGAAAAAATGGAAACAAAGTGTTTTGGAGAAGAGGGAAGGATGGAGGGGTGGAAGGGAGGGAAGGGGAAAGGGGAAAAACAAGAATCAAAATACACCCATTACAGGTATGAATTCCCAATGATGAATGTGATCTTAATGTATACCTAAAATGTACTAATAAACTTAATGAATTAAAAAATAAAATAAAATGTCATATTACCAAAATTGACATGTAGGTTTAATGCCATCCTAATCAAAATATCAACAGCATTCTTCACAAAACTAGAAAAAAAAATACTAAAGTTTATATGGAAGCAGAAGAGACCCAGAAGAGCAAAAGTAATCCTGTGCAACAAGAAAAAAGCAGGAGGCATCACAATCCTGGATTTCAAGTTCTATTACAAAGCTACAGTGAATAAAAACACATTATACTCGCACAGAAAAACAAAAAGATATGTATATCAGTGGAACAGAATCAAGGATGCAGAAACAACTCCAGACACACTCAGCCATCTGATCTTTGACAGGGGACCAAAAATGCTTGCTGGAGGAGAGAGCCTCTTTAACAGAGAGTACTGGGAAAAAATAATTATTGATGTGCTGAAGAATGAATCTAGATTCATATTTCTCCAATCATCAAAATGGATTAATATTCATTCAATATATTCAATCTATCAGAAGAAAAATTTGACAAAACTAGTAAAGACATAGGCATATGCAAGAACTTTTTTAACAGAACCCTAATTGCACAAGAATGACACCAACAATTAACAAATGGGACCATATAAATGTAAAAGCTTCTCCACAGCAAAGGAAACTACAAACAGAGGGAAGAGACATCCTACAGGATGGAAAAAAATTTTTCCAAGCTACCCTTCAGGTAGAAAATCTAGAATATATTAAAGAAACAAAACATTATATCTCCAAAACCACAGACCCAATAAAAAAAAATGGGGCATTGAAATGAGTAGACTCTTTTCAAAAGAAGAAATACAAGTGACAAATGGGTACATGAATGAGCACTGAGCACATTTGGCCATTAGAGAAACACAAATCAAAACAACACTATTTCATCTTACTCCCAAAAGAATGGCTATCATCATGAACTCAAAAAAATGCAGTGCTGGTGAGGTTGTGGGGAAAATGGAACTTTTCTACCTTGTTGCTGGGGATGTAAACTAGTATAACCACTGTGGAAATCAGTATAGAGATTACTTAGAAAATTAAAAATAGAGAATTCCTTTGAATCACCTCTACCTTCTCTGGATTTTCCTCTGAAAGGGTTAAAGATGTAATATTACAGTGATACATGTATACCCATATTTATAACAGCACAGGTCATAATAGCTAAATCTTAGAACCAGCCCACATGTTCACCAACAGATGAATGAATAAAAAAAAAAATTGATACTTATCCACAATGAAGAACTAGTCAGTCATAAATAAGGATAAATTTGAGTCTTTCATAGGAAAATGGATCCATCTTGAGACGATTATGCTAAGTGAAAATAAATCAGATACAGAAGGATAAATATTGCATGGTTTCTCTTAAATGAGAAACTCAAAGATTAAATAAACTAAGAGCCACATAAAAAGTAGATGATAGCAAACAAGGGGATAGACATTGTGGAGATGGAAAGGAGATCCAGAGATGGAGAAGATGGGAGGGAGATGAGGGGAAGGGGAAGTAAAAATAATCAAGATGCAATGTGTGTACATACCAATCCCAATGAGGATTGTGTTTATTATGTATCACAAACATCCACTAATAAAATAGGGGAAAAGTAAATTACTGATCCTTATGAGGTTACTGTCTGGAAAGAGTAAATGCATGTTCTGAGAGTATAATTGGATCTTAGAGAGTTATTTACTCACCTTTATGATACAGATAAATGAGTCAGCTAACAATAATGATATTGAACAGTTACATTCATTTCACAAATAAATAAACTAAAGCTAAGAAGAGACAGGACTAGAGAGCTAAGGATCCAGACTATATTTTCAATGTAAAAAGACCAAATGCTCAATATCTAGCCATAAAGAAAAAAATATGAGCTTAAAAGCAATCAAAACTATTTTCTGCAAGTCTGTTTTATACAGTACTATGTTTAATTCTTTCCTATTAATAACTCTAATCTTGTAGTTTGTATATTAATATGGGCTTGCAGCAATATAATGGTACAATTTTTAAAAAGCAAACTTTAAGACACTCTTTCAAGAAATTATAGCAAAAACCAGTTACTCTGACTCTCTCTATTGTGAGTAATTGGGGGAAAGAATGCTGTTGAATAATATGGTTAAAATGCTTATGAGCACAAATTTTGAAGTAGGGAAAATGTGGCCTTAATACTGGCTTCCTTACCTATTAACTAAGAATTGAAAAATCAACTTAAACTTTCCATGTTTTAGTTTCTCCACCTATAAAATGGAGGGAAAATACAAAATTCGTAGCTCATTATATGGAGTAAGTGAAAGAATTATATAAATTCCTATCACTGGGCCTATAAACAAATAAATATAGGCTTGACTTCTATGTGCATACACACACTCACCACATCATTCGACTTTTGATAGAATATTTTTAAAGTATTATTACTTCAGAGATTAGACCCATCTAAGCTGGTTTACATTCCCCTACCATATTTCTTTTCTTGGCTTTTTTTTATTGGTACTCAAAAGCTATAAAATAAATTTCTATCCTCTTTCATAAAACAATAAAAGAAAAATAACTAGAAAACGTTCAACATAAATTGTACTAGTGTTTGTATTTGTCTGGAAGGGACTTCCCACAGCTTTAATCACAGCCACAGATCATTATTTCAAATAAGATGCGTCTTTTAGATATTTAAACATGTATCTCACATCACAGAATTTAAATGTTCAGTCATTTATGCTGTGCTTTACTGTGATTCTGTGATGTGTCTTAAATAAGTAAAGTAAAATATGCTACAATTGTGAGTAGTATCACTGAGACTCTACAGAGACACACACTGGGAAAAGAGGTTACAACGACAAGGAAAATTACCTGGTTTTTTAGTCACTAATTGTTCATTGAAATGGATCTGAACTTTATAGAACAGCACCATGGTAGAGACCTCTGGCCCATGAAAGTACAACCTTCTGCTGTGAGACTTCTAACAAACTCTAGTATATTTAAAGCCTAATGACGAAATTTTTTTCTGCAGAGAAATTTAAGCTAAGAGTAAAGTGTCATGTTGAAGTTTTCAAATGACCTATTTAATAATTTACATGTTAAGAACATAATAGGATTGGGAAAGTAGCTCAGTGATGGAGCACTTGCCTAATGTGTGAGGTCCTAGGTTTGAACCCCAACACCATAAAAACAAAACAAAAATAAAAGAACATATAGAATAACATTTTCATAGATGAAATGTTTTATTGCAAGTTTTTTCTTTGTTACCTTGTTAACAATCACAATGGTAAAATGACAAGAAAAAAAGACAATTTTCTTCACGTATTGTCTGAGGCATTCTTCACTGATTTCATATGCACTGGTACTATGAACAAGGTGATTTATTTGACTCTGGTGGGACAAGATTTTCAGTCAGAAATGCAAAATTCACACATAACTCTTCCAAAAGAAATCTCTGTAGTATTTTCAGTTTATATAAAAAGACTTAGGATGTTGCCTGAAGCATCTATTTTTTTCCTCCAGGCAAGATGAAGTGTCACAAATCAAATTGTTTTTCACACTAGTAATGTATTCCCTTCTCTTTCAATTTCTCAGAGAGCCGACATAGGGATTTCTGCCTTAACCATCACTCCAGATCGAGAGAATGTGGTGGACTTTACAACACGTTACATGGACTACTCAGTGGGCGTCCTCCTTCGAAGGGCCGAAAAGACAGTGGATATGTTTGCCTGTCTCGCACCTTTTGATTTCTCTCTATGGGCCTGCATTGCTGGTACAGTTCTTCTGGTGGGTCTACTGGTCTACCTCTTGAACTGGCTCAATCCCCCACGATTACAAATGGGATCAATGACGTCTACCACACTCTACAACTCCATGTGGTTTGTGTATGGATCCTTTGTACAGCAAGGTAAGGAGAAAAACTACATTTTAATATAAAAGGGGAATAAAATGTTTCAAACCCTGTGCATTTAGCTAAGATATGTCTATCTGACATCAATGAGAGCTCTGAAGGATCTTCACAGAAAAGCTGAGAAAAGAACATTTCCTGCTTTCTCTGAGTGGATCTCCAACACAGCAGGTTTCCAGCAGTAAGGGTTCTTTGTCTTTTGATGCAAGTTCAGTTTCATTAACAAAGCAAGCGTGAATGTCAGAGATAAGATTCAGAAGACATTGCAAGATTACATTTTCTCCCCCAACTCTGATTCTCTGAGGAAATAGCTTTACTAGAGTGAAATTACTTACTACTAGAGAGAGTACTGTTTAATTATTTGTATGTATGAGAAGTTAGTACTTATTATTTGTTCAGAGACATTATTTCATGTGTTAAAAAGATTCACTAGCACTGAAAAGATTTTAAGACTACAATAACAACTTATGTTTTTATCTTTCACTATAGTATATAATCTTTAATAATGATTCAATATATAATTTCATTCTAAAAAATGAAATTTGTTATTCAGTATCCAATCTGCCCTGTTCTTTAAACTTGTCTGGTTAATTCTCACTGTTTCAGAATAGAATAAGATATTTCATATTCCTTATTTGATACGACTGCCATCATAAAGAGTGAAATAGTGTGGAGGTTGATGGTCTCTTGCAAACTCAGCGTATGTATTGCACAGAAGAAATATATGTGTATTTCAATACACACATGTGACAGTTCTGCCTTAATGGTTACAACTCTCAGAAGCATTTTAATTTTTATTCCCACTTGCTGTTGGAGCATCCATTAAACTTCTTTTGCTCTAGTCTCACTTAAATAAAGGTTTGTCTAGACTCTTCATCTCTATGTTCTCATCTCTAATCTATCCCTTAAAACTTTCTAAGCATTCTTTTTTCTTTGTTTCCCTATCATGGACCTTGACTAAAGTTAATGGTAGCTGTATTTGTCACAGACACTTTCAGTCTGTTCATTAATATACTATTAAATAAATAAATATAAAGTAGAACTTTGCTAAGTTCTATATACAATGGTGAGTGAAGGAGACTTCGCCATCATTGAGCCACAAGACTAGTGAGACAAAGACATGCAAACAATGAATTACAATTATGGGTAGAAAGTTCTGTAATAGGGATAATCACAAGTTGTTAAGCTATCATAGAGGTAAGAAAGCTCAATATGTTTTAATGTGGTAAAAAAAGCTTTGGAACTTACCACTATGTGAGCACAAATAAATTTTACTATGTAAGCAACTTGTTAAAGAATAAGAATGGAGACAGAAATAAATGAGGTAGAATTTTAGACCAGAAAGTGAGAAATAAATTAGGATAGACTATGCAGAGGGAGCTGAGGTTAAAGACATATTAGTTATTAGGAATTCAAACTGGTATTTGCAGAAATTATTTCTAGATATTTAAAAGTATTCAGGGAAAGGCATGTTCAAATTTTTACTATCATAATATTCTGGTTAATATTCTGGTTATAGTGTGGAGAATAGATTCAATAAAGACTGTATAGAAAGTGAGACAAATTTGAAGACTGTCATAATAATAGAGCCAAGTGTTGATGTGGTACAGAGGAATTGGGAGTCAAGCAAAGATTATTAATAGATGGGCCCAAGAGAACTTGAATAACTATAAGTAGTGTAGGTATTGGTAGCAAAGGAGAAAAAAGGAGACAAGCTTTCTGGATTAGGAAATTATCTATATTGGATGCTGATCTCTGTTAAGTGTAGAAAGAGATGAAAGAATGAATGCAATACAGAAAATCATACATTCATTTTGGTGCACATTGAGTTTGAGGTATCTATGAAATACCTCAGAGGATATTTCTAATGTCTGGTTAATGGATGATATTATTTGTCAGAAGGACAGAAGAGATATCTGAGCTTAATATATAGAAAGGGGATACTGGTACATAAGAAATAGGTGAAGCCAGGGATTTAGCTCAGTAGTTCCGCCACCTGCTTCGTAAGCGCAAGGTCCTGAGTTCAATCCCTGGTACCAACAACAGCAACAAAATAATAATAATAACAACAAAAAAACCTCCACATTTTTGGGCCAGGGAATAAGTGAAGCCGTGGAGGTTAGGTCATTTGGAATAGTTGTTCTTAGCTGTTTGCTCCTCATTGTGGACCACTGGTCTGGAAAAGGTCTAGCAGACCCCTAGGAAAGCAAAGGACAGAGGAGCCCTGAGGGGTGACCAAAAGATGCAAGGAAAAGAGAAAGCATGTGGTGGTGGTGCATATGCCATATACAAACAATACTTAAAGATAGAGAGTTTGGTTGGCCATATTGATTATGTCAAAGAACCAAGTATAATTAAGGATTCATCTTAATTATATGGTGTTCACTAGGTTTAGCAATAGATTGGTTACTGGAGCAAAAGGCTTGTCTTTGTTCCAAGATGTCAGAAGCTACTGCTGGACAACTTAATCTAGAGACTGAATGCCTCTGAAGCCTTGTTCATGTCACTCACACATCAAGGTCAATGCTCCCTACAAGACAAGGACTTCAGTTTCACATGTGGGAAGACTGTCTTTCTGGGATACTTCGAACATTCTCACAGCAGAGCAGTTCGTTGCTCCATTGAAAGAAATCATAAAAAGATAAGGATTTTGCCTAGGTTGGTTTCATGGAACAACTTTGATGTGTTTGCTTCATTAATTTTTATGAGAATTAAAATGGATAAAACTGTGAAGTTATTAATTGTAATAATATAAGGGATATATAAGTTCTTACTAAATATATAAAAAATAAAAACAAGACTCAAGGGGGGGTAGTTAAACACGGAATAGGACAAGGCAAATGATTTTTGACTGCCAGTAGCTTTATTTTTTATTATATGTTTGCAATACATAATAAATATATTCATCATGGGGGATTGGTACAAATACATACTGAATCTTTATCCTCTTTACTTTCCACAGTGATTTTAGATTTTTGGCAAGATAATTGTTGCTATGTTAGACTCTGGGTTACATGGAACCATAGAAAAAGGAAGGATCAATAATGAGAATGTAATAGATAGCATTTGAGTAGGAGAAGGAGAAAGTAGCAAAATATCTTGATGAGGTTAAAGAACAAGAGTGGCGATATGGGAATGATTGAGTTTGAGTGTGAGGTGTTCATAAAATGGGAGGCCAAAGCCTACATTTTTTAAAAAAAGGTAGTGGAGGGAAAGTTACAGATTTACGTGTTCAGATTCCTGAAGTTAAGTTTTTAAAGTACGTCAAAAGCTGATCAAGGAATTTAGAGTAGAGGGCTAGATGAACCATCTGCAATGATTGCTGGCTTAGACTACAAAGGAAGAAAATGAGCTATGTACCAAAGTTAGTTGTCAATAAATGAGGATGGATAACTCAAATAATGATTGATATGAGCACTGACTAGAAATAGGTCATATAGCTAGATGTAATTAACCTCCGTTTTCATCTCACTTCCTCCCATTCTATTCAGTTTAGGTATAATTTCAATAATTACCAATATGCTCATGACTTGCAAATCTATATTATGTCCTTCAACTTCAGGTTTATATCTGTTTATGTATCTAAACTTCTTTGTGGATATACCTGACATGACATAAATTTCACCATGACAAAAATTAAATCTGTTTTACACGTAAAACCTCTTTAGGCTCTCTTATTCCTGCTGAGGCAATATCAACCACCTAGACACGGTAGGCATTTTCGAAGTAGTTTTGATTTTTTTTCCTTTTTCTCATCATTCGTGTTTAGTCATAATCAAGTCTATTTTAGCTCCTAAATATTTCTAGAAGTAGAAATCTCTTCTCACTTAGAGAGATGGGTCTAGCTTGTTACCTAGTTGAGACCAACTCATCTCTCACCTGAAGTGTGAGTCTCATGTCTTTCTTTTTCCAATTTTCCCCAGCCCATTATACAATACACATGCATGAACGTATAAGTGAGTTTTCACTGCCTTGCAAAGATCACCACATAATTTCCATCCTGCACATATTTCCATGACTCCTCATTACCATCAGTTTATAAAGTCCAAGCTTTTCAGAGAATAAAGAATATTCCATCCTCTGCCTCCTGGCCAATGCCAAATTTTCATTTGTTAACACTAACGCCTCATAGGATTATCTGCTTACTGTTAACAGTTTTTAGTCCTGTAAGCTTCAGATAAGACTGTTTATTGCCTTTCGAGATTTGCTCCTGCCTTTCCAATTCTTAGACACACAGTAGGTACTGTGGAAATAGTTTTATTACCAACCTACTTAATCTCTGCTCCTACCTTCTATTTTATTTTCAGTTCATTAAGTTCATTGGTACATTTTAGGTAAACAATACAATGACATTCATCATTGGTAATTTGTACCTTTACATGATGTATCTTGGTTTTTATTTCTCCCCATTCCCCTGCCCTCCCTTCAACCCCTCCATCCCTCCCTATTTACAAAGACTTTGTTTCCGTTTTTTCCTTTTCTCATATTTTTTCCTTTCCCTTCTTTCCTTTCCTCTACCCCTCCCACTTCCACTTCCTCTTCCCCTTTGGACCTTTTCTTCCTATTTCACATTATCTATTATACATTTTGATCCTCATTTACACTTTTAGTTTCTCACACCAGAAAAACTATTCAGTATTTACACATGTGTGTCCTATTTATTTCACTTACGAATATCACCTCAAGGTGCATCTATTTAGCTATAAATGTCTCTAGCTTCTCGTTGTTTATGGCTGAGTAAACAGAAGCACTAAACCTGCTGGAAGAGAGGTTAGATAAACTCTTGAAGACATTGGCGTAGGAAAAGACTTCTTATCTTCTACTGTTTGTACAAGTTCCTGTTCATCCTCCAGTTCTCATTTTGATCTCACTCCTTCAAGACTTCTTTTCTGGGATAAGAGGCTTCTACCATGTTTCCCAAGATATGTTCTCATAGTACTTATCAACACAGCACAATTGTGTTTCTTTTTCTCTTGTCTTGATGTAAGTTTTAAAAATAC